ATGGGACGTTAAACCTATACCATTAATTTCACCATTTTTTCACCTCTTAGTCAATGGAATTGTTTGATTTAACCCTTTTACACAAAAAAAAACATACTTTAAGACTATGTAGGAAGAGGGACCCCTCAGATTTAAAGTCAGTTTCCTTTAGATCTGGTCTATATTATAACATCTACAATGTCCACCCTTCACTGCCTGGCTCGAGTCTGTCTCGCGCTCTCTGTTTAGACTGAAAGTAGATGCACATTTTTGTGTTGCATTTGGTCGCTTTTAAGGACATGCGGGCTGACCTAGATTTTGGGGTTTCCAGAAATTTTGCCATACACCAAAAGTGGGCATTGCCCTACCTATAGGAGAAGTTTGGTTTCATTGGTGTGTACATTTGTTTGGTTATAGAGAAAACTCTCCGTGTCTACGTTCCTTCGATTTTCTCAAAACAGCATTTTGTCGGGACAGCCCCCGAGTACCTTGTTTTGAGAAATTTGACGTCCAAATTGTTGTCTTCCACAATGTTATGTCAAGCTATGCAATTTATTGAATATCTTGATAACGATTCCGGATATTCTTACGATTTTTTAAAGAGCAGATTGAACATTTGTTTTCTGACCTCCTCGTGGTCTTAGTCACTCAGAATGGCTAAAAATTTCAGTTAGAACTTTGTAATTCTGAAGTAGTGACTCCACTCTTCCCCACTATCTGTTTCCCACGCTCCACCCCCCCCCCCCCAACCCCCAATCCTCCCCAATTCCGACCTGTTTCAATCACTCATTCCCCATTGTCTCTCTCCTTCCCCCCCCCCCCCCCGGGGGTGACTTCATCAAATTTGGCCCCTCCGCTACTACGAGCGAGCCCGCCCCCGCGCTGTGTGGAAAATGTCCGCCGTCATCTGGCTAGTGTCCGGCCTCTTCGCCGTGTTCCCCCTGGCCAGTCCAGCCGCCCGCCCCCCAGACACGTGCCAAGATCTACAACACGACCATATGTTCCTTCTCGTCACAGACCTCATCAACATAAGCTTCCTCGTCTCCACCATCGCCTCGCTCTTCTTCTATTTCTTTCTGCTGCGCATCGTGCGCGCGCAGATGAAGCGACTGACGTCGAAGTCTGTACAGCTGGAGCTTCAGTTGAAGAAGACGACGACGTTGACGAGGTCTGAGAAGAAGTCGGGGAAGGAGGTAGTGGAGGAGGAGGAGGAGACAGTGGAAGAACTGAGGGTGATGGAGGAGGAGGGTGGGGAGGTAAAAGGAGGAGGAGGAGGAGGAGGAGGAGGAGGAGGAGGAGGAGGAGGAGGAGGAGTAGGAGGAGGAGGAGAAGGAGGAGGAGGAGGAGAAGAAGAAGAAGAAGAAGAAGAAGAAGAAGAAGAAGAAGAAGAAGAAGAAGACGAAGAAGAAGAAGAAGAGGTGCAGTGGTGGTAATCTCCGAAGCTCCATTGATATTTTTGCAATAGGGGAGGGGTAGGAGGAGGAGGAGGAGGAGGAGGAGGAGGAGGAGGAGGAGGAGGAAGAGGAGGAGGAGGAAGAAGAAGAAGAAGAAGAAGAAGAAAAAGCAAAGGCCTATCTTAAAGCTTCGTGGAATGCTGCAGAGTTACAGACAAAACCACAGAACGGTATGTCTACTGACGATATATTTACTGAAAGGTTTGCTGAGAGAAAAATTCCAAATGAGAAAAAGTCCATGAACACGTCAGCGCATTGCGCGTGTAACAACAATCCCCTGGCAAAGAAGATTTTTACCACGACAACGTCCGCGTCATTGCCTGGGCTTAGTCAAGATGAAAAGTGGAGGGTAAAAACACATGGGAGGAAAGGGCATAGAACTTCCTGTCTAGTCGGAGCTGATCTTAATGAAACAGTTTGGACTTTCGAGGACGGTCAAAATTTGCTTGGAAGTGCTTCAAAATCTCATGACGAGGAGGAAAATGACCTGAACCAAATCGAAAATGTATCATCAATTTCTTCTCCCAAAGTTTCTCACGTTGCTCTAGTTCGCCGGTGCGACTCATTTGGTAGAACAATTGATCGTCCCAAAGACGTACATGTACTGCCTTACGAGGAAAAGGTGAAACATTTTGACAAAGCCTGGACTTCAAACGCTTTGTCCGCCAGATGTACAGTAGTACAGCCACCTACGACCTCGGCCTGCAGAGAAACACTGGGCAGTGGTCAGTTGATGCCCATCTCTGAACACGAAACAGATGACACTGACAATGACAGTAAGATAGATACAACGGGTGTCGGGGGTTTGGGCAATACCGTATGTGGTTCTCATGGCAGAAATAGGATGAAAGCAATAATTGGAAAGGAGGTGGAGGATGAAAATTGTTCCTGCACGGTGGGTGACGGTGAGACGTGTGTAGTGGAGATGTTTCCAGACATCTCTCTCCAGGATGCGTCCCGCTGCTGTGACAGCCAGTTGGAGTTAGGTGACCGAGCAACGCCGTGCGGTCACAGCAAAAGTAGGAAGGGGACACATCCAGCCGTATTCTTTTCCCGTGGGCACGATCCTGCTACAGATGAGAACATGACAACTATTGAGGAGTCTTACAGACTGAGCGCTATCTATCATGCCAGCAAGGCTGGGACAAAAGACAAAGGGATGTTTGCCTTCCCTCAGATAAAAATTTCCGATTCCATTTGTTTGCAGAATCTCGGCGGTCCCTCGAGGACATCCTCCCACACCGTCATCGAGTCTTTCCGAGTCTCCGAATCCTGGAAGTGGCTACCTCGTCTCAAAGACACGCAGGAGTTTCGGCGCTGGAGTCCCAGGAGAATGTTGTCGTCCACCTCCGATTTGTCCTTAGACTCCACCGCGACTGTGGACACGTTTTACAGCAGTACCGACACAGATGAGGACCCTCCATCCCCTCGACTACAAGAGACGAGATTTCCTTCTGTGAGTTCCGAACCAGACGACCAGGTGATAAACATTGACATTAGTGAGACTGCTGGAAATGATGACGTAGATGGAAATACCGGAGCATCTTCGAGTCCACCACAGCCACTCGACCGACCTGGTGGAAAACCGAGACTAAAGCATTCACAGAGACAGAGACAAAACAACAGAGAAAGGAAACGAAATCAAAAACTTCAAAGAGACATTCGAGCTGCCAAACTTCTGTTCCTCATGTTTGGTGTGTTCCTAGTGTGCTGGCTGCCGTGTGTCATCATCTTCTACATAGTTCGGTTGTACCATTTGAGGCCGTACGGTTTGTCCGTGCTCAATCTGCTGGGCTTTTCTAACTCGGTGTTCAATTTCTTCGTGTACCCAATGAAGGTGAATCAGTTCAGGGTGGCCCTTAGGAAGACAGTCCCTATCTGTCGGAGGATCGTCAAAGACTACAGGACCAGGAACTGAATAATTTTATTATTAACAATATCATATTTGTTATTGTTATGTTATATTATTATTGGTATAATGATGATGGTGATGATGATTATTACCGCTATTATTATTATTATTGTTTTTACTATTATTGTTGTTTTCGTTATTTTAATTACTATTATTATGGATATTATTATCATTACTATTGTTTTATTATTATTACAAACAAACTAAACGAACA